ATATTGGGTCTGTTAAAAGTTCGTGTAAAGTGAGAAATAACGTTGGCCAAGAAAAAAATAACGCAATGTGAAAACTTATAACTGTCAGTATATTACATTTGAAATCAATAATAACAATAGATATTCTTTAATAGCAGAAGGCTGTTCGCAAACGTAAATTTTATTATTGTAAATAAATATAGAAAATATTAAATCAATGTTTAGCTACTAATGGTATAAAGCAAACACTTTTATAATAATGAAGGTAATTAATAAGAAGTTAATCGAGTATTGTTTGTTGCGAACAATATGGTAAATTAAAGTAAATGGCTTAAGGTTAGAATAATTAGCTTTAGTAACGCAAAAAAAATAAGTCTAATATAATGAATAATGAGAATCGAGTATTCGAATATTAATGTAAAATTGAATACCAAATCCATTTACATAAAGAGTTAATCGTTAAAATAAATAAGAATAGTGTCAATATGATTATACATAATAAGGCATGAACATGTATATTAATAACATAAACGTATCATAAATGATACATATTATACATATAAGCAAAATACATCAGAAACATGAAACATACATCACAGTAATTAAATAAAGATTAATTGAGCACAGTATATAGGATAGTTAGCCAATGAACTGGTCAATACATCAAAAATAAAATACAGGAACAGTCAGTTTACAAGTGTTGGCGCTTGTTAATGTAAGTTTAGCTCAGCCAGTTTAATATCAGCCCGTCGGCTTGGCGACGTGATTACAACGTTCCCGTGTCGCTGATGGGGACCACTGAGGGGGAGGGCATGCGCGCGACTATGCTGCGTCCGTGCGAATCCGTCATCTTCCTCGCCGTTTCTTGGCGCTTCTGTGTGCGACCGCTCTACCGTGTGCACGTGCGTGACCGGTGCGCAAGCCATTTTTTTTATTCTTTATAGTATGCGACGCGAGTGTAACTTAGATGTATTAAAGTATTTTCACGCAAAGCAAATTGCCTCTTTTTATTACGCGCTGCCGAATTCCTTCGGGTGTGACCACAAGGCAAGGCGACACAAATCGACAAGCCACAAGACACAAGTCTCCGACGAAGAGAAAATAGCGTTACACGTAACGCAACAAGAACACCGTGGTCCTTTCCCTAACATTGGTCCTTCGAGTCGGATACTCACGAATTCCGACAGACTTCGGAGTTCGGTGAATTGCCAAATACACAGATATCACATACACAGGTAGTTTATATTCATTTTCTGAGGCAACGTGCAAGCGTATAAGTCGCACACGATAAATACTCCATAAGCCTTATCTCAGGCATATATTGCGAGGTAAGAAAGTTCTTTTATATTCACAAGATCGCATTAGGCGCATCATATTCAAATAGACATCGATAACAAGATCTTTACTTTCGCTCACAAGAGTCGTCATATTGTCGTTCATCACTTTCGCTCACAAGAGCCGCCATATTGTCGTTCATCATTTTCACTCACAAGAGCCGCCATATTGTATGCTAGCACTCTCATAAGAGCCATTTTGTGTTTGTCAGAAGAAGCTAGATTCATGTATATCCGGCCATTTGCCACGCAGTCAATATCACGCATTACATTTAACGTTTCATAATAGAAACACTCCCATTAGCAGATGCAAAAATTAAGACAGCTCACATAAAATCCGCGGTTACACGGTTAAAGGCTTTTATCGACAATTTCGACGTTAACTGCAGATTGCAGCATGGTCTCATTGAGCGCAAGCAAAGATTATCGGAATTGTGGAATCACTTTGAAGCAGCTCAATTTCGCATAGAAATTCTCGAAAACGCAGATCCCTCGATCACTGACAAAAGAGTTCTCCATGAACAGTACGCGCAACAGCATGACAATTTTGAAGCTTCTTATTTCCAGTTAATGGCTTGTTGAGTTAATCGCTCTTATTGAGCGTATGGAAAAAACGCATCTCTGCCAACTTCATCAAACGTAAATGGACAAGCGGTGAGATCAAGGGAAACGCGTGTCAAATTGCTTAAAATAGATTTACCAGTTTTTGCAAGTACATATGACGATTGGTACGTGATGTCTTGAACGCTTTATAAGCGCGTTTCAGCTTATGTAGGTAAAAACCTAGAAATTTTATAAAGACATACGGTGCACATAGTGCAAAAAATTAAACAATAGTACGCCAAATACAAGTTTTCTTGTCATTTTAATCTGCTGCAGAGATTGGGGTCAAGGAACGTTTCGACAATCAGAGATGGATTGTTCAAAAGCATGTTCGCGCTTTATTTGAAGTATACGTAAGGAAAATTACAGCATGACTCGTGAATTATTAGACACTATTCTTAAACATTTGCGCGCGCTCAAGGCCCTCAAAAGGCCTACTGATTATTAGGATGATTTAATTATTCATCTTATCATTTGTAAGTTAGATGTAGTCACCAGCAAGGCATGGGAATTAAGTTTTTTCAAGGGAAAAGAGCTGCTAGATTTAAAGAGCTTAATAGAATTCTTGACTCTCCGATGCCAGGCATTGGAATCAGTACATGGTAGATTTTACAATAGCGTAACAAGTAGTATCACATCAAAGCATAATAGCAATTCAAGGTCCACGTCTGTCGCAAATGTTGCTACATCCAATCTTTCTTGTGTTGTTTGCAAGGAAAACTATTCAATATATCATTGTAAAGAATTCCTCAATTTATCGGTTGAAGATAGAATTAAGGCCGCGAAAAAGGCACATTTATGTCTCAACTGTTTAAGATCGAACACACATCAAACAAAAGCATGTAATTCGAGTAAGTGTCGAAAAGATAGCAAAAAGCATAACACATTGTTACACATAAGTGCTCCGAATAGTTCAGATATATGGCGATCAAACACGCAAGCAGCAAGTCAAGCTACCAAGCCTCCACTCCCCGTCGCCACGCAACGTACATCAGGTCATTCATTAAATATTTTATTATCTACTGCAATTATCCATGTATCGATTCCAATAATCAAATTCATTCATGTCGAGCATTACTTGACAGCGGTTCTCAAATGAATTTCATGACGAAGGAGTTAGCAAATCGCTTGAAGTTCAGGGAACGACCTCTTGATGTAAGTGGCGGGAGTTATGGATGAAGTAATCCACGCTAATAAAGTAGTTAATCTTTGCATCAAATCGCGTTTTAATAATTTCTCCGAAAAAATGGACTGCGTGGTGCTTCCAAAAATAACACAGCAGTTGCCACAGCACTTCATACCCATGCAAAGTGTGTCTGTTCCAAAACATATAAAACTCGCTGATCCTAGTTTTAATGTAAGCAAGCATTGATATGTTAATCGGGACCGAGTCTTTTTGGAGGCTCATTTGTGCGGGTCAGATCAAACAATCAAAAAATTAGCCGACTTTGCAAAAGACATTTTGGATGAATCATTTCTGGTATCACACTATCTATTTCTTCTCTTAACTTTCATTTAACTTCACTCGATGACTTAAGGCTCACATTGAATCGGTTTTGGGAGGTCGAACATGATACCACTCCTAAACCACTTTCTCTCGAAGAAGAGGTCTGTGAAGAGTCATTCTTGCAAGGCGTAAAATAATATAGAAGGGCATTTTATCGTTAAATTACCAACAAAGCAAGACAAATTGGATGAATTGGGAGAATCCAAGGACATCGTTCTAAAACGTTTCAAATCTTTGGAGAAGCGGCTCATTACTCAACCCCGCATGTATGATGAATACAAGAAGTTCATGGATGAATACATGCGCTTGAATCACATGAAGGAGGTGACAAGTAGCACGATGCTAAGCCATAGCTCTCCAGCTTTCTATCTTCCACATCATGCGGTACAAAATGAAACGAGCTCTACTACCAAGTTCCGAGTGGTATTTGACAGCTCATGCAAAACCATAACCGGACTATCTTTAAACGACGCATTGAGAGTAGGACCTATGTTACAAGAGGATCTTTTCTTCATTTTAATCAGATTCCGCACATTCAAAATCGCTCTCACCGCCGATATAACAAAGATGTATCGACAAGTTCTGGTCGATTCAACTCAAACACCATTGCAACGTATTTTTTGGCGAGAGTCGCCAGATGAGCTCATCAAGACTTTCGAATTACTCACTGTCACTTATGATATGTTATCAGCATCATTCTTGGCTATCAGAGCCCTGAGAAAGTCAGCGGAGGACAATGTGGATTGCTATCCGAGGGCGTCGCAAATAGCATTGAGGGATTTTTACGTGGATGATCTCGTCACAGGGGCCGACTCAATAGATGAAGCTCTGTCTATCAAGAAAGAGATCACTGCATTGCTGCAGGACGGGAAATTCGAATTTAGAAAATGGGCATCCAATGCTCTTGGCCTCTAGGATCGGAATTCCAGCGAGCCAAGAGAATTCACCTTATCCTCAGACAAGAACTCCGAGAAAAAGGCGTTAGGCATTGCATGGGATTGTCGAGCTGACGTATTCAAATATTCGTCCATCAATCATCTGCCTCCTCTGGAGATGCCTACCAAACGAAGCATTTTATCACGCATATCTCTCATTTTTGACCCAGTGGGGCTGCTAAGTCCAGTTACATTACTCGCCAAATCCATCATGCAGGACCTCTGGCGATTCAAGCTTGACTGGGATGAATCGATTCTCTTAGAATTATATATTAAATGGAAGCGCTTCGAAACGGAGTTACAGGAACTGCATGGCATACGCATTCCTCGTCTTGTCACAATCATAGAACATACCAATACAAGAATATACCAATTTGAAGTTACATGGATTCTCAGACTCTAGCGAAATTGCATACGGAGCATGCATTTATTTGCGCTCCACTTCAATCAACGATACTTATTGCACTCACCTACTTTGCTCCAAATTCAGAGTGGCACCATTGAAGAATCTGTCGTTTCCGCGCCTCGAGTTATGTGGTGCATTGCTACTGGCTCGTCTTATCAACAGGATCTCCAAATGTCTCACCTGTAGCATCCAATTGCATCCATTCATTTATGGACGGATTCTACAATTGTACTATCATGGTTGCAATCGATCCTGGTCAACCTTTGTGGCATATCGCACTGGTGAGATACAGGAATTAATATGGATTTGGCAATGGAATCACATTCCGAGTCAGGATAATCCCGCGGATCCATTGTCCCGCGGCGTCATGCCGGGTTCCCTGGCGCAAATGGAGATCTGGTGATCGGGGCTCTCCTGACCGAGACGTGACAGGGAAAGCTGGCCTCAAGAAGCTCTACCTGCAGACGTGGCCAACGTCCCTGAATGGAAACTTAAGGCTATCATCGGAATGAGCGCTGGTGCACAAGAATCTGACGTATTCTATCGGTATTCAAACTTTAATAGGCTCATTCGAGTCTTTGCGTACATGATTCGTTTATAAAAAGATCCAAGAGTTCAAGGGATTTATCCAACCATTCTCAGGAGATCTCATCTTTGCAGAATAAGGACATTCCACCTATATTTTTTAATGAGCAGCAACAGGCAATTTATCGTCTAATCAAAATAATAAAAACGAGGCATTTTTCAAGTGAAATGAAGGCACTTAGCAATCACAAGGCGGTTCCTACATACAGTCCTATCTTAAAATTAAATCCATTTCTTGACGATTCTGGCTTCTTACGTGTCGGCGGTCGTTTAAGAGAATCCTCTTTGCCTTATGCCTCCAAGCATCCAATGCTGTTGCCTGGAAATCATCCATTTTCCCGCTTAATTGTGATACATGAATATGAAAGGCTTTCATGCCGGACCACAAGCTACTCTGGCCGCGGTACGTGAGCGTTACTGGCTCACTTCGGCACGTAACGCCATTCGACAAATTCTCGAGGAAATGTATCGTCTCAGAGTTCATCAAAACTCGCTTCTGCTATGATGGGAAACTTGCCGGAACCGCGAATTAAAATTTCTTCAAAAATATGGTCAATGTGGAGTGGATTATGCCGGCCCCCTCTATTACAAAGAAGGTGCTAAAAAAATCACTAAGCTAATAAAATACTATATCGCAATTTTTATTTGTTTAGCCACCAAGGCAGTCCATATCGAATTAGCGTCTAACTGGTCGTCAGCATTTCTAAACGTCTTCAGGCGGTTCGTAGCAAGAAGAGGTTTCCCTTCGGACATCTTTTCTGACAATGGACTAAACTTCGTCGGCGCCGAACGCGAATTGAGTGAGTTAAGGGATCTGCTGCGTAATGAGTCAACTTAACAACATATCCAGAATCAAACCCTAAATTTAGATAGAGTGCAATGGCGTTTTATCCCACCACGGTCTCCCCACCATGGAGGTTTATGGGAAGCCGCCGTGAAGGCGACCAAGCGACATTTGGCTTACATTACAAAGAATTCCAATTTGAAACGCGAGGAGCTGGAAACATTACTCATCCAGATTGAAGCGATATTGAACTCGTGTCCGCTCATCCCTCTTTCCAAGGACCCCAACGACTTCACCTCTTTAACTCCCGAACACTTTTTAGTGGGTACACCTCTCACAGCTTATCCAGAGCCATCTCTAGACGAAACCGTACTTAAACCGTTTCTCCCGATGACAGTACATACAGCTATTGCGACAACATTTTTGGAAACGATGGACTCGCGAGTACCTTCATCAATGCCAGGAGCGTAACAAGTGGCAGATAAACGAACCGTCCATACATATCGGCCAAATGGTTATCATCAAAGAAGACAACACTCCTTCACAATCATAGCCTCTGGGAAGAATTCAAGACATACATCCAGGCAAGGATACAATAGCACGCATTGTAACAGTGCGTACTGCTAACAGCAGTTATAAGCGACCTATTACTCGTTTCTGTCTACTTCCAATTGAAAATTAAGGTCTGGTTATGACATTGAAAATTTAACGTTTTCTATGTATCTCTTAGTGTCCATGTTCATGTCTTAGTATTATTATCTTCATCGTTGACAACATGATGTTATTTTGTTGATCAAACATATTCATTTTTTGTATTTATTGTATTTATTGAAAGACGATTCTTTCAAGGGTGGCGGTATGTTGGCGCTTGTTAATGTAAGTTTAGCCGGTTTAATACCAGCCCGTCAGCTTGGCAACGTGATTACAACGTTCTCGTGTCGCTGATGGGGAGGGCATGCGCGCGATTATGCTGCTTCCGTCGTCTTCCTCGCCGTTTTTTGGCGCTTCTGTGTGCACACGCGTGACCGGTGCGCAAGCCGTTTCTTTTATTCTTTATAGTATGTGACGCGAGTGTAACTTAGATGTATTAAATTTTCACACAAAGCAAATTGCCTCTTTTTATTACGCGCTGCTGAATTCCTTCGGGCGTGGCCACAAGGCAAGGCGACACAGATCAACGACAAGCCACAAGGCACAAGACAAGTCTCTGACGAAGAGAAAATAGCGTTACACGTAACGCAACAAGAATACCATGATCCTTTCCCTAACAACAAAATTCAATTAATTCGGATTTCTTCTCAATGGTGAGTCATAATGTGCTCAACTAAACAGATTATTACGGCAAATATGTCACAGGCGCCAATGAAATCGCATTAAGTATCCTGACTACTCAGCTAAGAACTCTGCATTGACAGTGGCGACACAGAATCACGGTCTGGCGAAACCGATAGCCACACACTTAAGCACGAGTTTATATCCGTGTGCTCGTCTGCGGCGTGCTGAAAGTGAACGAGACAGCGAGCTCCTTCTCACACTAGTCGTTTGTTTCAAACAACCGAAAATGCTTCCTTAGCAATCTTGGTCGCTCAGCGATCCTAGATATCAATAAAGAGTGGAGGGCATTCTAAATAATATATAAATTTTAATAAATTGTTGTAATAGTATCCCTCCCATTAATCCATAATAGTATAAATCTTGTTAACAACAGTTTATGAAATATTTAATTGTTTACGATTTTTCATGCGCGTTATACGGTATATTCCTCCTTCATAAAGAGTTGCAAGAATAGTTCAGTAAAAGTAGAATTTTACCGAAAAAAAATTATAAATCAGTATTTCTTTTCACGAAAGTCTCGAAAGGCCATCAGAAAAGAAATGCGTATATTTGAAATTAAAGACTTGTGAAGAAAATAGGCGAAAAAAACCGAATAGCTGTAAAAAGCACGTTTTTTGTTTATAAAACGAAAGATATTGATTGTATGGAAAAAAGTTCGGTATAAAAAAATGTAGGTATTCAAATTACCAACAAAATGACGTGGAACATTAAAATCGATTTATTAGTTCAATGAAAACAAAATTAAAAATACTGAAAAAAGCCTTTTTTTTCACTCGCTCTCTGTTCATTGAGATTTAAACGCAAAGCTTTGAAATTCTCGTAAAATTTGCGTAATTGTTGAAGATATAATACTAACTTTTGCAAATATAAAAGTAAATTAGTGTTACACCAAAAATATATTTTGCAACTATGTTCGACAATTACACTAGCATTTGGCAAATAACTTATTAATAATTTATTTACATGTATCATATTTGCATCTGCAATTAAATTCACAAAAAACAATTTTGTACTGATAATTTCATACATTTAATTGTCCAGTTGGACACTTTTTACAGCATATTAAATAAAGAAACATAGCTGATTTGACTTTAAATTTGTTAATCAGATGCACTCCATACTCAAACGTGATTTTTTTAGTAATAAACTAAAAAAATGAAAATTCAAGAAACAAAAAAATTTCATGGTTACAATTATTTTGTGAAATATTTGGTTAAGCTATTTATTTATACCTCGTCGTTCCATTTCCTACATTACTATCTTAGCAGGGACGTGTATTAGGATCGGTTCCAAAAATGTAAAATTTATTTTGGAAAATTTTTCAATTTTAGAATTGAGAAAAAAATAAACCGGAATTGAAGTAAATCTTATACTTGTGGAATCGGGCCTTAGAAATATAGTTGTATTATATACACATGCAATGTAGCCGTGTTCCAATATATACCACCAATACTAAAAATCTGTAATATACATAAAGTACAGATTTTTAACTTTAATAGTTATATCGATACGAAGCCGTAGTAGCACTTTTTCCTTATGTCCAATGCCATTTTAGATAATAATAATATAGTATCAATAAATGAATACGACATACATAATGTACACATTAATTGATTGACTAAACCCTAAAATGATATTGATCATAGGAAAAAGTGATGACTGTGTACCGATATTGTGCGGGAATGCACCGCGCGGAAAGATTCGAGTGAGAGAACGGCACACGGTTGATATGATACACGACAGTAAAGAGAACTCCGTCTTTGTAATTTAACAAAAGAATCTTCTTTAATATGCTCAGTTACAAAGTCAGAAAATATAATTAATTAAATATTAGATTAACAGAATATTAAATGCGGTCACTTTTTCCAAATCGTATTTGGAATCGCGGTGATGGAAAATCTCGGCGATTTTCTCGGCACTTCTCGAAAAGATGCGGTTTTATAGCGGTTTTCACTAAGCGGTTAGCACGGTTTTACGAAGCGATATAGTAGCGAGACTATGACTCTAAGAACTCTAAGAAGTCTAAGAACTTTAAGAAGTAAGCAATCTAAGCAATCTGAGCGGTCTAAGCGGTCTAAGTGGTCTAAGCAAGAGGAACGGCGAGATCGAAGCATTTATTGCTTTCGGCCTGGGCTATCTTCTTGGGAGAAATCCATTTTGCCACAATCGTAATTATTACGTAGCATTGGTTGTACAAAATTGATTGGCGCTTTCGATTCTTTTCTAATGACGTTCAACGTAACAATCATGCGCGATAGAAAATCCGTACGTGGGATTGGTGACAGCGCGTGACGTATTCGTCGGAGCGCGGCGCTCGCGTGCGCGAATTGAATTGTTCTAGAACTTTCGATTGTCCGTTGCCGGTGCCTGTTTGCGTGTACCGAATTGTTTTGAAAAGACTAAAGAACGACGAATCCCTGACTTCGACGAGGCTTAATGTCAGGCTCGAGATGAAATCACGAGCTCGCCTTGTGCGTGCGTTCAATAACAATTACTGTCGGTCGATCGAAGGAGTTCTTACTTTTTTTCCGAATTACCGATCTCAAACATTCCCGCCCGCCTCGTCATCTCCGTGACGATATATGTATAAAAAGTTACGCATTGAGATTACAATAAAACCGCAAACACGTACATAAGATATGCGATACAATACATTGAATCCGTGGAAGAGCTTGAACCGTGAACGAGAGTTATATGATAAAATACAATTGGAGCAATGATTCACGAACGTACAGGCGATCAATTCCAGCTCTCCCTTACATTCGATGCATTAGTGTGCGAGATAAACGCGGTAGCATCTTCTGGCAATAGAACTAATTTGACTAAAGGACGAATTAATTCGGATGAGGCTGTTTTGACTGTGAGCACTACGCCGTCGTCTCCAGGATGTAGCTGCGTGATTCGCGCCAGAGGCCACTTATTTGGTGGTGAGAGCTCGGAGCGAATGATGCATAGCGATCCAAGGCGTGGTGGCAAAGCGTCCTTGGTCCATTTCGGTCTGGTAGCCAGAGTGTGTAAGTACTCGCGTGACCATCTCTGCCAGAAGTGGTCTCGCATCCGCTGGACAAGTTGCCACCTGGAAAGCAAATTTTCCTTCTTGTCCGACAAGGAAGGCTCGGGAATGACTAGCAGTGGTGCCCCGATGAGCAGGTGATCTGGTGTCAGAGCTGTGAGATCGTCGGAGTCGTCTGAGAGGGCATGCATGGACCGGGAGTTCAGGCATGCCTCCACTTGTGCGAGCAGGGTGCTAATTTCCTCGAAGGTGAGCCTGGTTTCGCCGATGGTTCGGCGCAGGTGATACTTAGCCGATTTCACGGCCGCCTCCCAGAGTCCACCAAAATGTGGTGCTGAAGGGGGATTAAAATGCCAATAGATCCCCTCTGATGTAGCGACGTGTGCGATCTTTCGTCCTTCTGACGAGGAGGCTCGGAGCATCTCTCGAAGTTGCCGGTCGGCGCCCAAAAAATTGGTGCCGCAATCGGAATAGATGTCCGTGCACAGTCCTCGGCGAGATGGGAAGCGACGGAGAGCAGCCAGAAACGCGTCGGTGGTGTATGCTGAAACAGCCTCGAGGTGAACGGCCTTGGAGCTAAAACAAACAAAGACGGCGATGAACGCTTTGTGAGCGCTGTGCCCACGCCCTTTGCTCGTCCTGATGAAGATAGGCCCAGCGTAATCGATGCTCACATGAAGAAATGGTCGTGCAGGAGTCACTCTTCCTGGAAGAAGGTTTCCCATTTTCGGTTGCGGAGTGGCAGCCCT